TTTTGAGTAGTTTCTTCTCATTTCACAATATCTGTTGTACATTTTGATCTTATAAACTGCATCAGTTTATTCCACTGGGAGGACAATACAATGTCTACACCTGTGAAGCTGATTTATTTCACTTACGATTATGGACTCAAGTTGCATGCACTTCCCTGCAGATGTCTCAAGTTTATCCTTCTTTTTAGCTGAGTAGTAATGCATTGCATAAAGAAGTACATCTTTTCACCCATTGCTGAACTAAACCAAAACTGCAAGCAAATGGACTTAGTAGATGTTTTCACGGTGTTACACTAAACATCATCAGAGTACACATTCTTCTCAGCTGCACATGAGTGTCCTCTAAAATAGACAATATACTAGCTCACAGAGCATACCTAATTGGATGCAAAGGAGGTGAAATTATCCCACGAGTATTTTCACATCATAGTGGAATGAGACTAGAAATTAATTATTAAAGAAACCACAGATACTCCATAAACATATTGAAATTAAATAACACCCTCCAAAACAATTACTGGACCACAGATGAAATAAAGAAAGAAATTAAACAATATGTGCAACTAAATGAGAATAATTTAATATAGTGATGGGCTTATGGCATAAACTCTGATGATTGAACTTCAAATATCTGAAATTTACGACCTGCCTTCTGGCAGATGTTGCTGTACTTAAGCTTCTTGCCAGGCAATCAATGGGAGAACATGCTGTGACTTTGACGTGTCCTATGGTGGCCAGAAGGGTGCATGAGAGAGGAAAATATATACACAACTGACTCACATTCCAACCTTCCATCAATAAAGTGAGAATTGATGACAGCGTGCTTCAGCAATTGCTGTATGGAGTCAACACCACACTTGGGTCTGCAACAGAGAATACCTTGACTTGTACACTTAAGTAAGGGACATGCTATTGCAGAACTCTATTAATTGTCCATTCATAACTTCTAATTTGAGTGTAAACACCACTGCTTGGCCTGGAAGTTGTTCCATGTGCTCTTCCTACTCTAGTCATCTGCTAGTATTTTGCATGTCCACCAACCTTGCCATGACTACCTACAAGCACAAGGGAAACACCTCTTCTCTTATCTGGAATTGGAGGAGTTTAGTTTCTTATCCCACTGGTGCAGTTACCCTGTACTCAGAATGTTTGTAGTGGTGGAGTTTGAAGTTAACTTCATTCTCCATCTCACAATTAGCCACCTGGAAAGAAACTTATCCAATCCAGGTCATAGATCTACAGTGACATG